AACATTACTGCAATTAGAGGACCACTAGAGACAATACTGATGCACCCCCCATTCAGGACTGGCAACTGCCTAGGACTCACCACTTAAACGACTCGCAGCCACTGCCTGTGACCAACCCAGGTTGAAGGAAATACCCAACAAAGGCATTTCGTGAAGAGCAGGGCAGCACATCTCAGATTTGTTACCAAGGACTCGGACTCAAACACAGCTTTTAACCTGTGTCCTCTTGCTTCTTCCTCCTCTGGCCCCACGGATAACACAGACTTACTTGGATATGTTTGAAATCCCTTGCTCTAGCAAAGTAGTTGCATTCCTTTGAGGAACGCTGAGGGCCAGTATCAGCTAATCCTTTCAGGGATTCCACGTCTGGTAAACATAAACTTCAATTTGAGGATTACTGGGGTTCTTTCAGGACTGTTTTGGCTAATTGCTATGGCGTTCCACAACAACAGCACACTTGTCGATTTTTCTTGTATAAAGAAAACAATGCCCAAGGGCTGGTGCAGTCTCCTCAGCAATTCAACTAGTGTCATTAATCCTTTTGTGTTGCTCCTCTACCTTCAAGCCTTATTGACTACCTTGAAAAAAGTTGTTCAGTTTGTTGTATCACACTAAGGCAAAGAAAAAAAATATGTCGGTGCGCCTTCAGGTTTTCCTGGTGTCGATGTGCTTAGCGAGGATTTGCATCCATACTCTTCACCTTAATGCTACCCTACAGCTCTTTTCTCAGCTTTTGAAGTTACGCACCAAAGAGCTAAAGCTCATCCCTAGAGTAACTGCAATACATAATGATGTGAAACAATCTATTTCTAATCTTTGTCCATTCATCCAGAATGACTCGTTTCAAAACCCAGCTAATTTCCATCATCCCTTAGTGGTGGTCACAGGTTCTGTCACTTCTACAGCAGTTTCCCATTAGAAGAGGTACTACCAAGAATGAGTGCGTGATTTCCCTGGACAATATGGTCACCTTCTCTCTGCCTCCAGAGAATTCTTTTGATCTGAATAGTGATTCAAAAAGAGATTTCTTCTGGATTGATCTTGGTGCGCTACACCTGCATAAAGCAACATTCAAAGCACCTCACACTGGAATGCAAGTCCTGCTCTAAGTCCAGATACATGCTTTTTGGTGATTCAATTTTAGAGCACGGAAGAACGGAAGGATTTGCAAGATGTTCCATCTTTGAAAATGAGCATACTAGGTTATCATCAGTGCCTGCAGCTCCAAGTTCTTTATGCACTTCATGTGTCCTGCCTTACATATCGCAGCACTTTCAGGTGATGCTACAGAACTAGGTAAAGAATGCCTCCTTGCTGACACTCATGATCACCTGAGATGTCTGTGCTAACAGCTCCATCCCTGTCCCTCTGAATCAGCATCCTAGACACTGAAGGAACCCAAGGATGGTGTCCTTCAGCACTGGCAAACATCAGCGTTTGTTTCAGTTCCCAAAGTTTCAAGCAGGCTCCATCTTAGAGCTTTTCCTCACCAGTTAATCAAACCTGCAGCTCTTGCCAGTTTAACAATCATCTCTGTACTTACCACACAACCGAATTCTTGCTTCAGGAAATTACAGGATGCAATTCTTACTTTTCTCAGTTCATGAAAGCGGTATAAGATTTAAAAAAAAAATAAAAAAGGATAAGAAAGAAAAGAAAAAAATCTTTAAAAAAACCTACTGCCTTTGAACTTAAGTGCATATACTTCCAGCATGCCAGGCTGCAAATTCTCAACTGGTTCTCTAAATAACGTCAGTTTTATAAATTCAGAACACAAACTAATAGTTCTCTAGCATACAATTTGGATTCGGATCTTGGTAACCTCATATGTGCTTTACAGCCTGCAAGAACTAGTGTGTTAAGCATTTCACTCAACAGTCACTCACATCTGCACTGAGACCAGAGGCCTGAATTTGGAGAATATTTTCTGGGGTTAAGAGTGCCAAACTTCTATCTAACAATATGAACATCTGGATCTAATGAGCTATTACTCAATGATTGGCTTAGACCCAATCTTTTTATTTTGGGGGCATTGTTAGCACTAACTACATCACTAGGAACCTTGCCGGGATCAGTATGATCATTCTGTCACATGCTGGTCAACAACATCCAGGGTTTTATTTGAACCCGATCCACATGCCACAGCAAAGTGATTCCATCTGTGACAACCTCCTGCATCTGTGTGTGCTCCTCGGGGATGGGCAGTCTCTGTGTCGGAGGAGGCAAACTGCTGCTGCTCTGAGGAGGGTGATTTCAGCTTGTTCTGTTTGCCACTCCATAAGTAAATTCCCAGGACTGAGTTAACCCTTTGCCAGTGGGTTGTAACCCCAGAGCCATCATTTTAGCTGCATTATTAAATAAAGAGAGGACTGATAAACTTACAGACTTCCCTCAGATACAGTTTCTTTACCGAAAAAAGCTTTTTCAAGGAGATAAGATCTCAGCTTCACTAGTCATTTTTGATAAAAGCACTTGAGTTTGACATAGAATTTATATCAAAAATACATTGAGTATTTCTGCACTTCCCACACTTTGCTGTGTCTTAGCCTCATATTTGCTGTTATTATACTGCCTCTGTTTTCTTTTACCAGGCCACCACAGCAAGTAGTTGCTCTTTTCTTCTAATTTTACTCCATGGAAACCAGAAAACATCAGCTCTACAAGCTGTTTGATTTCCCCTTTGTGTTTCACAATCCCAGACCCTTCTGGGAGCAGGAGAAACTGCTAACATCCATGCCATCACTTGATAGAAATATATGCAGCTAAAATTTACACTCCATCACACATGGAGTCTTGTTCAAAGCGTGCTGAGAAGACACCACTTAGATAACATACTAAACCTTTTCATTTCCATCTGTTCTTGCTGACTCCAAACACAGTTGGTTGGGAATGGGTCAGGAGGTGGTAGAAGAAACTAAGGAATGTGTTCAGTGCAAATGACAGTGGCACACGCTGTAACAGAGGGAAGGGACAGGGATGGGACAGGATGGGATGGAGATAGACAGTCACACAGACCCTTCCCATAAGCATTCACAGAAATATCTCTGTGGTGACCAGTGTGGGGGAGGGGGAGGCACGAGGGAAGAGACCTTTACTATTGAGGAACATGAACAGCTATAGGAAGAGGCTTGACAGCCTCCTTGGGACCAACTTCCTATTTCCAAGAAATAGGAAGACCTCCATGGCAGCCATCACAGTTTCCTTTGTTACTATCTAATGAATTTGAAGACTTCCCAGCTACGCTTGCCAGCAGAGACAAGAACATGCTGCTTGTTAATGGTGTGGTAGGAGAGAGGGAAACCTGCAGCTACTTCAGTAATGGCTCCCATAAATAGGGAGAGTGCAGGGTCTGCTGTGCCTGTGGATGAAGAGGAACCAGATAAGGATCTTCATCTTGGAAGACTGTGATCTGAGAAGCCTCCCACTTCTATCCCAGTGCTCCCAACATTTCCTACCCAGAACATAGGGTCTGGTTCACACTCCCTGTGAGAGCTGAGTCCTACAGGGTCCTGTCAGCTCGGAAAGGCATTCCCAGGGGACACTTAGGGTCTCTCTCTCTCTCTCTCTCTCTCTGAATATACAAAAGGTGGGTGGGTGGGTTGAGTGCTCCAGCTGTGACTGAGGGAAGAGGCCTGAACTGAGTTAAGCACTTACCTTCCCTGTGGACTTGACCCCTTTCCAGATGCAGAAGTAGCAGATGATCCACGCCAGCAGCAGACATAGAGCCAGCTCCCAGCGCAGGCTGCCCAGGTGCTGGATACCGTCAGAAATCTTTAGCACTCTCCTCCTGCATTGGTGGAAACAAAGCAGCACCCAAGTGTTGTAGACGTTGGCCACCAGTGTTACCAACACCACATTGGCTCTCATCATACCTCCGGAGTGCCTGACAGCTTTGGGGAGAAGTGGTATCTTACAGACAAGGCCCAGCTCTGGGCTGCAAGCCTCAGAGGAGTCAGGCAGAGGTCCTCAGTTGCTTCTCTCTTGGACAAAAGTAATACCAGCCTGGTGGGTCATGCATGGGACACCTGCTCCTATGCTTGCTCCCACACTGGCCTGTTTGGCCAAGACATTTCTTCTCCCACCCTTCGTCTGCTTTGTCCTGTTTGGGGTAAGAGCTCCCTCTGCAAGAGCGTGCAGCACTTTGCACAAGCAAGCAAACACAGGCCCCATTTGGACCTTCTTTCATGCACGCTACAAAGTTCAATTACACCTTTCTAACGTGCTTCAAACAAAGTGGATAATATATTGCATTCATGACACAGAATCAATCAGGACCACACAAGAAGCAAGGCTCTCCCAACCTCCTTCTCCATAGTCCCCTACTGTTGTCTTTAAGAGTGGATCCAGAGCTTCAGGACCCAGAGCAGCAGAGCATCCCATGGCCAGACAAAGGCCAGACAAAGGCCAGGCCAGTCCACAGTAATCAGCATAGCACAGACAGAAGAGACCACTCTGGTCATCCTCTTTCAGCCACTGTGGAGGTAGGATACTAGGCTAGATGGAGCTTGGTTCAACCCTGTTCTTATGGTCTCACCACGGCCATTCACAGCTTTCCAAGATGTGATTGTGTCAAATCTTCCTCATCCCTTACAGAAGAAAGGGCTCACCCCTCTCCTCCTATGTCTCCTGCATCACACTGATAGATCTGAACATGAAACACCATGGTGCAATTGCCAAACCCCAAGCCTGAGACAGGCAAAAGGGACATGCACTACTCTGCAGCCCCAATAGCAATGCAGAGTGTGCTCACAAGCCCATATTGCTGCAAAAGATAGCAATTATTCCAAAATAAAGGTAGCACTCATGGAGAGCCACGCTCTGAGATACGCTACCTTCCTTTCTGCCTCACAACTTAGTAACAGATTGAGTGGAAGAAAGAGTTCAGAGGAAATCACTCTGTCCTTTCAGATATCTTTTGTTACCTGGAAGTTTCCCTGCTTCTATGGACATAGTCTCTGTAACAAGTGGGAAGCAGATGCTAACAGAACATAACTGAGCACTGTACCGCAGCCAGAAGAGGCCTCAGGAGCACACCATCACCCTGCTGGCAGGTCAGCACCTCCTCAGGAAGCTGTTGTCTCCCTGCACCTCTGTGCAAGGAGGGCAGGAACAGATCCTGCATAAAAAGCTGTGGACAGTGGAAATTTCCAGTCCCGTGTACTGATTCCCCAATAATACTACAGGAATGTTCAAAGCACTGAAGGAAACATCAACTTTTCTAGCAGCCCGTCTCAGGGAGGGCAGCCTAAGAAAGCCCAACATCTCCTCCCACGTGAGCAGCAGTCAGTGGGAGAACACAGGCTCAGAAAGCACAAGGGATACAAAGAAAGTTCAAAAAAAAAAGTGTAGGAGAAGAGGAAACGACCAACTTTGGGAGGAATTAATGCAACAAGCTTATTAGCAAACAGCAACATATTTATCCAGCACCTTCTACTCTGTAATGAAGCCTCTCTGTTCATACATATACACAAAAAAAGCACTTTCCCTCATGCTGAAGTAGGGATACCCCAAAGGTATTATGTGCTCTGACAGCACAGGGCAATGCTGATGAGGACAGCAAGGGCAGAGCACTCCATCAGCCTTATTGCACAAGGGAAATTCATGGGGGCAGCAGGGAGTTTACTTGCACAGTCTATTACCCAGGACTCGATGCTTTACTATGCCCGTTCTCCTAGGAGACACTTAGGATCAACAGCAATCACAAGTCATTAGGTCTATGCCTTCATGCCAGAAATAAAGCGACTTCGTACCTCAGTGTAACTAACACACATGCGCTATCACAAGGGCAAAAAAAAACGGTGAAAATGAAGGAAAAAATTTCACTATGAAGTAAGCTGACCCCAGCACTTCATTTTGATTTTGGTGATCCTTACTCATCAGGAGAGCTTGCATATTAATTGCTGAAGTAAAAACATAGCCTCTTTTTCTATTTTTAAGGTAAAGACCATCCCATATACAAAAGTCACCATCCACCAGGACAGAACCTCCTGGGAACATGCCGGTATCACACTGATTCAAAGGAAAGAGATCATCTACTGCATCATCAGAACGGACTCCTGCAGAACACAGCAGGTTTTTAAAGGTCCCCTCTTCAACAACTGAACATGTTAAAGCTTGCCAAAACCTGAGAACAAAAACCCACCATAGAGCTACTTCTTCGTATATAACTGCAGCTCTTGCCCCACTCCCAGCTACAGGGTTGGCTGTGTCCTGAGCACATTTACACTAGATACAGCCACCAGGCAGATCAAGGACTGCACATGGCAGAACATACCAAATGGAACAAGAGTAATCAATAATCTAGCAGATACACAATCCGTAATCCAATCCAATCCATAAATCTGACCCAAGGTTTCAGGAGGGTTTAGACACAGAACATACAATTCACCTATGTTGCAAGAGGAAACAATTGTATAAGAAAGTTTATGGGCGGCAATGAAGAACATGGGAGGAGGCAGAGAGAGAAACAAATGGAGAAGAGATGAGTACAACAGCGGAGGAGGAAGACAGATGTAACAGAGAAGTACAAAAAACAGAATATCAAGGACCAAAGGAGTGAAAGCAACAGTGAAGTGAGGTCCTCGCACAGAGGGTTACCTGGCCATCACTGAGGTCAGTAAGACTGAGGAGACAAAAAGGTCCAGAGGGCCAGGAATACAGCATAAGAGAAAGGCAAAGTCAAACTCCTCTCTCGGGCAGGCTAGCTTGACAAACAGCTCCAGACAAACACCACCAGGCCTGCAATATTACCCTTGACTGACAACACTGCTCCTGAGAGCAGGGCTCAGCATATCTGCCATCACCCTGACCTGCCCAGCTTGCAATATCATGGCCTGTTCTGACAAGGATGAATTATTAAGTGCTGCTGCGGGGCTCATTCATTGCCCAGGGAATGTATTTCTCAGAGGATGAGGGGAAAATAGGCCTTTCTTTTACTTACTCCCAGAACTCGATGACAGGGGAGGTAGCATTTTCATTCGTCACATTTAGCGTGGAGTTCGCCTTCTGGAATTCCATGCAGCTCCCTGCAGAGGAGGCCCAAGAAGAGAGGGAAGGTAAATAGCAATGACCAGAAAAACAGAGGATTTGAAAAACAGCTCCCTTTCCATCCGTAACGTCAATACTCAGCAAAAAATAATTTTCTTATAGTCCCATGGATGCATGAAAGGAGTCCCCTCCAGGATAAGGCTGGCAAGACACTTCGGACAACTAAGCAGACTGCATTTCATTTTTTCTTCCAGTGGGCATGGTGAACCATCCTGAGCAGCACTGGGCCTACCACTAATGTGTGGCACAGGAAGACTGGATTTTTCATCACTGCCACCGCTGCCAAAAAAGCAAACATCCTCCATGGCTGGAGTCCAGAGCCAGAGCAGCCTGGAAAGGTATCTAAGCACATTATGTTGGTCAGGCACAGCAAACGGGCATGCAGTAGCAACGTGACACATTGGGAGCTTTCTGGCAAAGACTTATGTTATCAAACAGAACTGAGACTCTTCTCCAAAAGTACCCGCAGAGCTGCTGGTCTTGCAATAGCTACTTTGTCTAGCAATAAGCTAGGGTTTGCTCCCCGCACAAACCATGGTCTGACCCACGTAGTGGTAAGTTGCTTTCATGAGTTAGTTTGTATTGGCAAGCAGCAGGTTTTCTTGTGCAGGAGCTGGGGGATTAGGAGTGTGGACTCCACACCTACCTGTGTTCCACTCATGGTCACAGCTGCCCCAAGGAAGGTCTATGGTGAACGAACTGAAGAGATAAAACAAGGCCCAGGCCAGGACAATAATGTAGTAGAAGTTGAGAAGCATGACAATGACCTGTGAGGCATAGCCAATTCCTGCAGAAAGAAGGCCTTGAATGTGGATAAATATGTCAAGGGGGAGGAACAGGCTTCACCTTAAGGTTGGCGCCTGCACTAGGACCGGCCCGCAAGACAAGTCTCCCACTGTGCTCGTGTAACGCTTGATTTTTTACTTCTCATTTTGACCATGCTGCTGTTTAAATGCGAGCAGGACAACTGCTCAAGCCATTGTCCCCCCTCCAGTGGTACCCAGACTCCACCATTCTGCATCAGTGGAGGGTTGGGTGGCTTCCTTGAGAAGCTGACCTCCACACAGGAAGCACGGTGGTGCTCTGATACCCAGGCACGTTCTTCCCTTCCCTTGCTGTTGTGTGGTGAGGGAAGCCCAGGTAAATCCTGACAGATTGGAAACAGATGGAGAAGAGATCACAACTACCAGCCTGAATACTACGTGGGACTAATGAGCACAGCAGAGTCAGGGTAGTCACTTTAACCAAACAAGTACCAACAAATTAGTTTGGAGAAAAGCTGAGACTGGATCAATATGTGAAACTACAGGCTGGCAGCCAATTTTAAGGGGGCAAAGCCCTTAAGGCTCTGGACCCTGGTACCTATGAAAAGTTCAGCCCCACAGGGCAATGAAGGCTTCTAGGCATCAATTCTCTCCTGACTGACCCTGCATTTGGCCCACGTTTTAGGGACCAGCGCAGGAGACCATGGTTGCAGGCCTAAAGGGTGCTCCATATAGCATACTGTGTAGCCACCCCTGGGTGAGGAGCTCACCGTGTGGGGTATTAAATCTGCCCACCAGCTCCAGGCTTCAGACAGTCTGCAGGAAACATCTGTCCATAGGAGCCAGCCCTAATAAGGAGGAGTTAAGTGCATTCCCCAGGTGGCTCCACCTGAACAGAGCAGCTCTCGGTTGAGGGAGCTGTGAGAAAGCTGAGCAGTCCTGAGAGATGACCGTCAAGGCTAGCCATTTCGCAGTAAGCCTATCATCACATTATCTTCATTGCAGCATTTTCTAGTAAAAGGATGAGAAGAAAGAAAGAATCTGGACAGGGGATATACAGATTATGGTTCGAAAGCAGGTTGGAAAGACATCCAAAAGACAGAAACATATGACAACGCTCCATCTGCTGAATAGCATCTCTTTTACCAAAATTCACTTTTTATTTTGCTCACTCTTTCCTTTTCTCTGTTTTGGAACTTTTTATACATTAAAAATACACACCTTCTCTGGAAGGTGGCAGAGGAGTTCCTGAAGGTTTTGGCAAATCGGGGGGAGGCAACTGAAACTTTACAGACCTGAGAAATCACAGAAAGTGGCTTGAGATTGGATGACTGTGCTGAAATAGTGCTAGAAGTAGATCTGACAGTTCATGATTTATTAAGACAGCTGACACCTTTCACCACTAAGGTTGTAAGCCCTCTGCAGACTCAGGAAAATGACATAGGATTGATTTTAAAAGATATCAGTATATTTTAGGTTCCTCGTAACTATCAGAAGCATTTTCATCGTTTAGCTCTTGGAGGACAATTTTATCAGGCAAAGCTCATGGCCAGAGTGCTGGGCATGATGTAGAAGGAAGCTGGGATGCAATGTAACTCGGGATACTGTTTGCTGAGAAGGGTGAACAATTTTCTCAGCATTGTTTTGGAACGGGGATGGTCAGTGACCCTAGCTGGACTGGCATCTGCAATGGTCAGAGCAAGTAGCGAGGTACAGAACGAACTGAGCTGCGAGGACACGCAGCACCCCGTTTCCCCCACGCCTCACGGGGTCGGTGTCAAGGGAGCCTCCCTCTGGCTGGGCTGAAGCTCCCAGTCCCAGCGCTCCTTCCCGCCTCGCCTTGCCCTCCCGAGCTCACTCACCTTCAAAGAGAGGGCAAATCCTCCTCCAGGCCGTCAGCTCCTTCCCGCCTCGCCTTGCCCTCCTGAGCTCACTCACCTTCAAAGAGAGGGCAAATCCTCCTCCAGGCCGTCACCCCTCCCTGGCTCGTGTACTGCCCTAGTGCTGTTTCCAGGAGGAACACTGGGATCCCACAGGTGAAGAGGAAGATGAGGTAGGGAATGAAGAAGGCACCTGCCAAATTCAAGCAGCGTACAAGAGAAATAAATGAGTACGTTTGGGCCGTCCTAAACCTAGAACTGAGCAACTCCCTCCAGGAAAGCCCTGAGGAGGATGGTATGGGAGCAACGTGCACTGCTGAGGGTGGGAAGGGCATGGATGCGAGGTGCCAGGAGAAAGGAGTGTTCTTCATGGTCGGACTCCCAGAGCAATGTGACTGCATGAGAAACTCAACATTTAGAAAAAGAGGAGAGAAAGGAAAGTTTATAGGTCTAACTTTTGTGCAGAAAAGAATAAAACAAGTTCTCCTTAACTCTACAGAAATAAAGAAGTACATCCTACTGTAAAACCATTGTGATTTTTAAGAAAGCAAATGATTCCTTTTAATCTGATTTTTCTGAATGCCTGTTATCAACAATACCACAGATGACAACACCAAGATATTGAAGAACACATTCAGAGTAATATATTCATCCAGTTTTTGGGCTTTCTCAATCGTTCGCTCACTGAAAAAAGCAAGCATGCAACTGAAAAGAAAGCACAGAAAAGTATTTCCCTCATGCTAGCAGCCAGGGCTCCCTTCTTGGTCAAATCCTAGCATGGAACCAGACGGGGATGAAATGGATCAGGTTTATGATTATGCCACACTAATGTTAACCGCACTTACAGCTTTTCTCCCACAGAACGTAAGAGAGACAGCCCCACGAATGCCCCCTGCTTTGCGAATGCACCATCGACACTGCTGAAGCACTGCTACAAAGGACAGCGAGGAAGGGCAGATATCAGAGCCAAGCTTGGCTGCCCAGGAGCATGTCCTGGAGGACCTTCCTCTAACTGCACTGGGAACACAGAGCAGGACCGGGGACTACAGTCGGAAAGGGGCAACCCCAAGCAGACCGAGCACCAGCAAGGCTGTGGTAGGCTCTGAAGGGCACGCAAAGCCTGAGGGGACATCTTAGCTAGCCGAAAGCTGTCTCTCCCTGCATAGTCCTTTTCTATGCTAGTGAGGTGCTACCTGGCTCTCGGTCAGGTTGGTGGGGGTGTATGAGGAACAGGAATCCTGGTGTACGGTTAAATGAAATCTCTTGTTTTTCGAGTTAAGCAGCTTAGCTAGCATGCACAGGCTGGGGAGAGGGAAGAGGTGCTTTGGGCCAGCACTCCTACCCCCACGCTCGCCCCAGCGGAGTATGCAGCCACAACCCTCCCCTCCCTGCAAAAAAACAACTGACAAAATATACGGGGAGAGCATCTCCACGGCTCCCTATGGGAAATGCCAGCCAAAGGGCCCAATGCTGTTAGCTGGCAACTGTGGGGAAGGACGAGTGTCTGCGCTAGTGTCTCTCTGCGCTAGTAAATATGAATTGGTTAGGGCAAAGGGCGAGGGGGAATAGTTATATCAACTCAATCCCCTCAAGTTCCATCTTGTGTGCAGTTATATTACCATAAAAGTGGTGCATTTTTCCAACAGAGATTATCGTTGTACAAAAGTTTGTACTTAACTACACTGCTACCACTAGGTGTAAGGAAACGTCTCCGAGCTGGCAGGTGGGGCTGTCCAACGCAGGTTTCATTTAGCCTGCATTCTGGGCCTTCCTCTTCCTCAGCAGCTCTAGTTACCTCAAGTTTATCCTTTGCAGTTGGTTTTCCAAAAGACTTCACCCTTCAGGGGTCTACTTTGAGGCTCCTAACACACAGATTACGAAACAAATCAAAACAACAGTGGGGCATGGGAGCGATTCACAGGGACGCATTTGGCTCCTGGGCAACCATCTTCTCCCACTCCAGACCTTAACCTCGCTGCTGCAGTGTTGAGCGCCTTACGGGGGGGGTGACCCTAACCAGCATAGCTGCTCCCCAGAGGGGGGCAGGCCCCCAAACCTCTCTGGGGAGCTGCTGCTGCTGGGATACTGGGGAGCAATGCCAGGCTGCAAGGCCTTCAAGGACTACCCAGCCATCCTGCCTTGACAGTGCCTTGACAGCACCTTGCAGGTGACAAGGCCATCGCGTGGCAGAGGACTGGCATTTGCCAGCATAGAGTGGGAAAGGCTGGCGAGTAAGACTGCCTTCAGCCAGGGAGTGCAATGAGGGGGAAAAAAGAAAAAAGGTGATATAACACAGGTACCTTTCACAACCACGTAGGCCTGGGGGCCCATCTCCATTGCAGCAGAAAGGGCAACCCCTTACAGCAGGTTACAACACAGCTCCTTCCCATAATACAAAGTGGGATGTCAGACTGCGCATCCAAGCAGTCCCAAAGCGCTACCTGAGTCTTCTCCACTCCAACTCCTCCTGTCCCGCCTCAGGCTGAAAACCTCGACAGAGATTTTCCTCGCTGAAGCCAGCAGTGTGTCTGCACTGAGCACGTCCTTCATCACAACACTGGCTTCCCCTTCCCTTCCTCCTTTGTTCTTGCAGGGGTGGCCGCAGAACAAAGCAAAGCCAGTGCTGGGCGAGCGTGCAGGGCCGGGGTGCGGCAGATTGAGCCACACTGCCAGACAGGCTTCCCCAGTATTTCCCAATCGGCAGGGCCAGCCTGCCCAGGGAGGGCCTGACCCCACAACAGGAAGCAAAAGCAAGAGCGAACAAGAGCGAAAGAAGAACATTTTTTGCCGTTTGCTTCTCCCCCCACTATCACTTTTTTCTTTTTTTTTTTTGGCACCACATAAGACCTTGTTATCAAACACAGAGCACTAAATACGCAAGAGACCATTCTTGCTTTTCTGTGTGGAAAGATATCGAAAGAAAGGAAAAGTGACAAGCTGCCTCTATTTGTATAACTCAGATTTTGCAGATATCCTTTCTGTGAAGAGCCTTGGCTTACTGAGCCAAGCAAAGCAAAAGCTGAGAAGAGTTACCATCACTGTCTACGGCGAGGGGAGAAAGTCAGTTCAGGCTGGGGGGCGCAGAGCCGTTTAAAACTGAAACATTGGCACAAGAACAAACAGTTACAGACTGGCCATGATTAATCTTAAGCTGGAAATTAGATAAAGCTCCCTAACGATCAGAGAAGCAAAAGTGCCTGCACCAGCCTTCCCAAAGGAGCATAGACAAAACCTCTGACAGCTTTTAAAATTAATCTCAATACATTACAAATGGGTGATTTGATATAGCACCAGCCAGGGTAGGGCTGGACTCCATCATGAAGGAGAGCACCTCTAATCCAGTGTAGCCTTATTTCATTTCCCAGGAAAAGCCATCTGGAAAATGTCTTTCTACACAAGAGTCTCATGCACCATCCTTTCTTTAACCTCACGGGAAGGTGGCCAGAGAGGGTCCTGAGGTGACAAATTTTGCCTGAGACTTCAAATTCCTCCGAGCCTCTCCCACTTCGTGGCTTTGGTTCAGGCCCATTTCTTGAGAAAAAAAGGTTGAGACACCCCTTTTTGTCCTCCCTCTGCTGCACAGCCATTCACTGCAGCCCTGGTGATCCAAAAGCCGTCCTCAAGCTCTTCCCTCTTCTCCAGCCAGCAGCACTCAAAAACAGCAGGGCACAGCCATGCATGGCTGCCCCTCAGGGAGTGCATCAGGGAGAGAGAGGGCTGCAAGGATGCAGCTTCCAGAACTGGCTCCTCTCCTGGCCAGCAATGCTTGTCTCAAGCAGGTTCCCCATGCAGGGAGCGCGCAGGGACGGTGCAGCGACTGGAACGGGCGCCACACAGCAAGCAGCCGAGAAACGTTCCTGATTAAAAAAGGAAAACAAGAAAAATCCTCCCTTTCGGAATTAAAATTCCCTATCACCTGGTGAAAAGCAGCAAACACTGAGCAAAATCCAGGGTGAAAATAGCTAAATGGCAGCTAATCCTCTTTTATGCCACTGGGATGAAAGCAGTTTAGTGAGGCCCATGAGACCACCCCAAGCTAAAGCTAGGGGATTTCAACTCAAAGTCCCCAGCACTTGCTCCACGCCAGCTCCATGCCAAGTGCCATTTCTCCTCTCCCCAGCCCTTCCGGGGAGCCCAATTAGCAATTAATCACCAAACAGGGAGCATAATTCCTTCTCCGCGTGCCGCAGAGAAAACAGACACATGGCCAAACTTAGCAGTGCTTCGGGCTTTCATTTCTTAAATATTTTTTTTCCCCTTGAAAGAAAGTCACAAGCTAAACAAAGCAGAAACAAAAACACCTGTAAAAGCCCACGGCAACCCTCCACCTGCAAAAGCGAGCCCAGCTCTGCCGTGAAGCTGCAGGCCAGCCCAGCCCATGGACCTGCTGCGAATCGTTAACTGCGCACAGGGCCTCAGCAGCACCAATGCACTGTATCCTTTACAGATAATGACAACACGCTGCTCCGTCTCTCTCCCTCGAGTGTGTACATCCGCGAGCCTCATGACTCCACTCGGGGCGCGTATTCCCCCTCCCACACACGCACGGCTTCATTCGATGCCAGGAGGCACTGCAGGGAGCGGAAGAGGTGCTGCGCTTCTTCCTGGAGGTGAGAAAAACCCCTTAGCTCTGCCCACCTCAGCCCCTAGCACCAGGACGCGGCACCCAGGGGTGCAGGCACCCAGCCAGCAACAAGGTGTAACGCCAGAGGGCCAACGCCTTCACGTGGGACCGGCGACCGGGCTACTGATCCCAGCACAGCGAGTGAGCAGGCTTCTCCCTCAGCATTGTGTTTAATGGATTTTCACACCCATGGCAGGCAGGGCCTTCCTTGACAAAGATTTAGAGATGTGCAAAACAGGAGCCAACTGGAAACCGCATGTCCTTGGCCCCTCTGCAAACACCTGGGCACCCTCACCTCTAAGAGGGGCAAACTCCCAGTAAGGTAAGGCCACGCAGAAACATGCAGACTAGACAAATATAGGGTGTGAAACTGTCACGTGCTATCTCATCAACAACAGGAACAGGCCTACTTGGGCACAACAAGCACTCCTACGCATCTCCCATGCGCGCACCTTGCTGTGGCTCTGGGACATGTGGTCCTGTTTGCACAGGGGGCCTGGTGCTCCTCAAGGAAAAGGTGTTTGGGGTGAGTCACCCAGCTGGGAGAGCTGGAGCCCTCATCCTGCTCCTCCCTCCTTGTGCACACAGCTGCCGGCCTAGCCACAGGACAGGGGCCCCACACGTCTCCAGGAAACACCAGAAACCCTAGCACCATGCCGCTGGGTTACCCACATCTCACCAAGTCGAAACAGACCCTGCTCACTGCACAGACTGCAAAGCTGTGCCCGTGGGTTGACCTCCTCTCTTCAAATTTATCGCTTAGGCATTGCTGAGAAGCTGCTGTCAGCCAGAGGTAAGCAGGGGGAGATGCAGATGTGCACAGAGGCATGAGGGACAACGAAGGGATGTTGCATCTGGGGTTGGCCAAGGGCTGCACTTACCTCCACCATTCTTGTAGCAGAGGTAGGGGAACCGCCACACGTTTCCCAGACCGATGATCTCCCCAGCCGCGGACAGCACATACTCCAGCTTGTTATTCCACTGGCCTCGTTCCAGAGTTTGATCCTCTTCCTTCTCCTTTTCCACACCTGGATGTGCAGGTATCGTTTCGCCATTGCTAACTGCACCGGGGACTCTGTAATCCATCCCGCCTTCAGAAGGAGTTTCCTTCATTATGGTTAGAACGTGTCATGCAACAAGGCAGAAATTCAGGCTATGGGAGGCAGGAGAGGCAAGAATACACGTACAAACACATGCACGCATACCAAACCGTTACTATCTCGTTCCTTACAACAGTTCCTGCTGGAGGAAAGGCACTAAGAGTGTGCGTGCGCTTTCAATGTTTAGTCCAAAATCAGTCATTAAAAGCGACTGTTGGTTTCATTATTTGTAATTGGCTCATCTGAAAACACTCCAGTTTCTGAAATCCCATCCTTCAAATAAATACATTACTACTGAGAAGTTATATTGCACGCCTACTGAGAAGTTATACTGCACACAGCAGGCCCAAAGGCTCAGCCAGAACAGATTTCCTGCAGCAGCAGACACTGTGGAAGAGACTTAGGGGTTGGCAGGGAGGGGGTTAAATACGTAACAACATATTGTTATCAGGATTTCTTTTCTCCCTTATTGCTATTTACAAAGGTCTGTTTTTATAGACCACTTAAGGAAAGCCACTGAACACAAAACACTGTTAGATATGGAAGGACGACAAACTAAAATAGGGAAAAATTTTTGCTTTCACTGCTGACAACTGTTACTAGCAATCTACTAGCACTTCTAGTTATTTAAAGATGTGAGAACATCTTCATATAACAAGAGGATTTTTTAGGATGATGCTGTCCTCCTAGTTGAAGGAAAAGAACCAACCCAGATGAAATGACCATGGGGGATCTCTCCACTCCAAGGGTCTGTCCCTCAAAACATCTACCTGTTTCTGCAGATGCAGTAGTACTGTATCTTGGGAAACTTTGGCACTGCAAGAGCCTGGATTGCAGCAGTGTGGTGCCTTGCCTTACTCTTCTAGACAATAAACTGATCTCTGCTAACATAAGTAAAAGACAGGCACAGAGTACCTGGGTGCTTCCCCTGCTTTCACGCAATCCCCAAAAGCCTCCAAGAGGACATATTTCTTCTCACGAAAGCCTGGGCTTAGTTCAAGCGACTATTCCCTCACGGTCAGTGCTTCAGAGCACCGCAAGGAGACAGGTACAGGGTGCGCGGACCACACCAGCTCTGCTGCAGGGATTTAAGAGGCTCAGGGGCTGTCTGAGCCTGTTCCTCACGAGCAGGATGCCCTCCTGCCAGCAGAGCCTCTCAGCACCGTAGGGCGCAGGGAGTGGACCACAGCTCCCGCCAAAGCACTGCACCGAGGTCGGGGTTGCCAAGGACAGCTCGTCTTCCTCCGCACGGCGCCTGCCACTGGCCATCGTGCCCGCTCGTGCCCTGCTGAGGTGGCTTGTCAGACCCCAGGCTGATGCCTGCCAGTCATTCACACTGGCAACTCCTTCACTCAAAGAGCAGAAAAACGCATTGGCAGCTCTATCCTCTCTACCGGGGGCGGGGGGGGAGAAAACAAACAAAACCCCCAAAAAAGCAGCAGCGCTTTGACCCACTCCCTTTGCCCTCCCTGTTGTCCCCAGGCACACGTACCCCGCTATGAAACGCTCCAGGAGGCGAAGAACGCAGAGGGGCAAGAAACACTTGCAGGGGTTTGACAGGGGCCGCTCAGAATTGGGAGGAACCTTCCACCCTAGAAAATGATTAAACAAGCAAGAGAGCGCACCATGACCTCTCATCCATAGCATGAGCGAGGGAGGCACCGGGGTGGGTGCCAAGAGGGAAGGGGTGCGGAGAGCAGAAGCAGACACAAGCAGAGCTGTTACCTTATGGAGCGAGCTGTCAGGGCACTAGCCGAAGGGAAACGTGGAAGCAGGACTGAAAGGTACTGGCTATTTAAAGGGTGCAAAGAAAACTTCTGCCGTGGTGTAATCCTAGACTTCGCCCAACCCACATTCCTTCCCCCACCCCGCAGGGCTGGACAAAAACCTACACATGACTGATTTCATGGCCATCACGAAGAGGCTCTCTACCCCTGCCTGCAAGAAGGTCTTTCTTGTCCTCCGCGCCAGCACGCGCAGGGCTAGCTGGTGCCACACGTCCCCATCCTTCAAACGGCCCCCTCAGTGCCTCCCGCTGCCCGACCCGCTGATCAGCTCTTCTTCCTCCACTTCCCCCACCCCCATGTGCCTGTTACTCATTCGGTGCACCTTGGTCTCTCTCCCTAATATTTTTCCCCGCAGTAGAGAGCAAGCAGCCAAATTTAAAAAGTGCCCGCGAAGCCTGTGCTGGTCGGAGTCCGCGTCCTGAGCCCTGCTGGGGACAGGTAAGACCTGATCTGTGATTTAACAGTGAATTCTCACTGCAGACGTGGCGGTCCCTCCACGGAGCATCACCGGGAGCACATCTCTGGGGGTCCCAATCTGCCGGGGCTGGCAGAGGAGCCCTGAAGCCCTGCACAGCTCTGGCTGCACTGCAATTCACCACGGCAGCAGGGCAGCACCGGGAGCGGGCCTCCGCTGTGGAAACAAATCCTATTAAGTTTTCCTATTCCTCACTAAGGGTCGAAGATGCAGTAACAACGTCACGATCTCTATTCCCTCGCGTGTCTCCCCTAATCACAGGACATTTTTGCTGCTAGTCTTACCCGAGAAGGAGAAAGAAGTGCAGCATTTCTGCAGTCCCAGGAAATTGCCACAGAGTTCGCCATACCAAGCGACTGGACAATAAAGCGGCAGATGAAAAACAACGCCAATACAAGCAAAGCAACACACAGGGGAAAAAACAGCCCAAGTTCTGCATACCCAGCGCAGGGCTGCAAAATCAGCTATCGCCACTTGAGAAGATCCTGGACTTATTGCAGCTGGTTATCTGAAAGCATTAGCTCAGCGCTCAGAGGCCATAAAGACAAACAGAGCTGGGTATTGTTCATAGTAGACAAGCTAGAGCTGTGATGGTCCAAGGATATAAGTGAGGCAAGGTCTTTAAAATATTTTTATTACACCAACTGAGGAGTATCTGGGGCAAGAGAGAACAAAATCAAACTTTTGGGTTCAGAGTCCTTTTATTAGGCCTGCAAAGCAGCAGCAAAACCCAGGCTGCATACGGGTAGTTCTCAGAGTTACTGGGAAAAGGACAGGAATGAATGAAACAGCAAACATTGCAGCATCACCCTGCTAATCTACGGTGTACCCCCATCCACGCAGTGCTGGGCTCTCTAGAAGGTAAAATTACAGAAGAAACAGGGCACAAGGACAGGCAGAGGCAAGGAGCGGATTCTGACCAAGGAGCAATCAAACACACAACTCCTCATCCTGGGAAGAGACAACTGGAATAGAGAGAGAGATGACAGAGGTCTAGAAAACAAGAAAACAACAGAGAAGATGAATACACCATTCATTACGTCTCATAATGCAACAGCTGATGGCATCCAATGAAACATTCAGATTTAAAACAAAAGGAAATACTTTTTTTCCTTCCCACTGTGCATAATTAATTAAGCATGGTACCCATTGCCACAGACTATTGCTCAGAAAGGAACTAGACACATTCACAAAGGACTGCTCCACAGCAGCTATTAAACGGGACGGTCCAAATAAAACATCCCACTCCAGCCCTTAAATTGATGATTATCGGAAACGAGGAAACCGTTCCAGAGGCAGAGTTGCTCTGGAGGGCGAGCATCAGAGAATATCCCTGCGGGGTTACGATCTGACAGCAACTAGCATAGTTGTTAAATAGTTAGTGCATGGATACAGGTATCAAAAAGGTCAAGGAGTAGCCAAATAATAGCTGGCCTTGTGCAAAAGACATAAGAAGAGAGGAAATTAAGTATGGAACCATTTCTCAAAATTCTCAAAACTATTGTGTACATCGGCGTTGCTACACAAATATCCCTGGCTAACAACGATAACTACTGTGCACCAGTGACAATATTCTTATCAGCCATTTCAGTAGAAGACAAGCTAATTGGCAGGCACTAATAGAGTACGATAGGAAAGTATGTAATCAAATAAACTATTTGACTTCCACACAGTCAGATAAGACTGCACCGAAAGCAACAGTAAGTTAAAAATGAAAACAAAAGTTCAGTGTAAACATAGCAAGCAGCAAGGAGAAATATTGCATCTACCAGTGTGAAAGAAAGCTGGAAAATCCTGAGCAAAGCATATTTAAAGTAAAACAACACTTTTCATGTCTTCTGAGAAGAAACAGGAAAAAGCCCATATGGTTCTGGGAGACGTTACTTGAGAAATCTGAGAGCCTAAAAAAAAATCATCTTTTTACTGAAGATGGGAAGAGAAGAGAAACAACAAATATCACAAAGGATCAGTTAAGACTACAGGAAAAAGATGAGTGCAATACACATTTTTAAAATTGCAGAAGGCAAGAAAGCTGAAAGGGACTTTAATCAGCTCAGAGACAATGAAAATCTATAGCGAAAAATGAAAAGGATGGAATTAACTGTCTAAGATTTTGCGTTTGTAACCATATCTAAGACAAACGGAAGAGCTGGGACAATCACACAAAATCCCAGGAATTAGATTTCAAGAAACAAGTAAATAGATATGGAAGAAAGTGTATCTAAAAAAAAAAGGAACAAGCCTAGGTAACGTACACCCTATAATAACAACAGAATAATTTAATCCTCAAACCTACCAAGATAATGCTGTTTAAATATATATACACATACATATGCACACACACATATATACATTTTATTTATATGGATAAGAACTCCAGCAAAGGGCTTTTGCAGTAGCACTGCGCTACCGACGGTCACACAGCTGTAACACTGCCAGGTGGCGGCAGAACATTTTCTCTCAGCGCCACAAGGGCTGGAGAGCGACAGCTGTCGTTCTGCGCCTGTCACACGTGCATCCCTGCCGTGCCATCCCCCACGATGGCACCAGGGGGTTATGCTGCGGTCATCTCACGTGTCAATGGTGGGAAACGTGAGCCTGCCTACTTAATAATCCCCCAGAAGCTTCTGCCACAGGAGGAGCACAAAACTCGAGGCAGTGCCAGCTCACGTAGTTATGCCCCTCCAAGCGCTACCCCATGCTTTTGAGCACTTACCTGGTGCTACCTCTTTCTGTCCCTGAAGCAGCCCGCACTGCAGTGGCAACCGAAGTGATACCTCCCCAAGGAGGTTTTGAAGCTTCCAAGTCTCCACAAACTGCTCACCTGCCCCAGCCGGCACAAGGGCAGAGCACTGCCAGTGCATCGGGCACATGTGGGACGTTTCTGGCTTAGCTGGTTCTCCCCTACACCCATTTTGGAGAAAAGGCTACTGATTCCTCTCCTCAAATCCACGTTACGTTTTGCTTATATTTCTGTTTACAATACTTATCAAGATTTCTTTCTTCAGTTTTGTCCCATTCTTCCACCAGCAGTTGAGCTCATGCTGTGTGGGAAGCGCTCACTGCCAGAATATGCAAGCCTGGAACAAGCTTTACCTGGAGATAACAAGGTACTTTGACATTTTATGGGTCAGACGTGCACAGGAGCTGGCCCCAGCCACATCCTGCAAAACCAACACATGTGAGTGCTGGCGCTGGACTTGCTCTTGCTGGTAGAAAGCCACAGAAACTTCTCCCAGGTTTGATCTTGCATCACACCTACATCAAGCTGAGCAAGGAAATAGCTTATTTAGATGTCTTTCCTCCAAAGCACTGATCCACCTCCAGCCTCCTGGAGAGGTGCTTCAAACCCAAAAGAAGGAAGGATTCAAAGCCACATGCTTAAAGGAACAATTAGGAGAAAAGAAGAGAGGAAAGATAGTTACTGGGAGAGGTACATCGTCTTTTACTACAGTGCAAGTAGCAGTGACTTTCAAATGAACTTGCTCTCCTAATCCACTGAAGTGCTTCTAGGAGAATGGCTGGGGCATGCCTGTGGCCGCTGCTTAGGCGTTCTCGAGGTGAGGAAGCCACCAGTTGCTTCCTCTTTGACATTTGCTCCATGCATGAGCTGAACACTGAAAGCAGTTACATGCCCCACTTCCACCTCCCCCCCTGCTCCTCTGCCACACATGACAAACTACCTCCATGCGCTTAAGAGCTGTGTAATCTCACAAGGCACCTCCCAGCTTCCAAGAACCCAATTTGCTGTTATATTATCTGGGAACCAAAGGCCACAGCAAATACGATGCATATCCTCTGTCTGATAAGCACTGTGCTACTGGCCTTTTCAGCTTGAAAACATCATTAAGCTTAAGCGAACATGGCTGTAGAAAAATAGAATTGTTGAAATATGCACAGAAAGTGAATAAATAGAGGCTGATCTTGGCTGGCACACTACAGGAACCTGGAGACCACTCAGCAGAGAAAGAAGCCATAGCAAGCACAAAGGAGCGATTCCTGCCTGAACCAGTAAGTTCACAGAAGGACTCCTGTATTTTGAAACCATGGCAGAAACCTAAAGTCATTGCAAGAGCTCGCAAAGTACATAGGAGCAGTTTCCTCTGGCAGAAAATATTACTACAAGTGTTTTGACAACTTCATTCAACTGGACAATGCAGCTTTCCGAGTGAATATTTGCTTTCAAATAACAACGTGAGTGACCAGAATCCAAAGCCAAGAAGAATCATTTCCACATGGGACAGCTGCAGACTCACAGTGGCCTCACTTCCGCGCCCAGGTTGTTTCATGCAAGATATGTAGGCCTGCGGATACCATGCTCTGCATACAGAAGATAAACGGATGAGGCTGCCGCAGTAGCCAGAGTTCACTGCCCAGCTTGAACGCAGGACCGTGGGCTCACAGTGAGTACAGAAGTAGGGAACCCCCTCCTGAAGGTGCCACTGCCGCACCCGACAGCTCCTCTGCGTGCAGAGGCCAGTGGTGATACTTGTATTTTACTTGGTGCATAGGCCGCCGGTGTGCTGGTGAGCCCCTCTCTATGCACCTCTGATCACAGGTCAAAAATGGTAGAACATGGCCATTAGGAAGGGTAGATCAGTTTAGGCTAGAAGGACTGTGGCCTCAGGCCCCCTTTGGCTGCAGTATGAATTCCTAATCACGTTATAGAGGGGCAGCAACAGAACTGCAGATTCCCTTAGTCACTATCTCAGCTATGTCCGGTCCCAGTGGTTTCCCCCACGGGAACAGGATGGAAACAGCAGCATGTTTCGGGTGTGCGCTTGCATGTCTGGAACCAACAAAGCCAAGATTAAGTCAGGAATGTGCAAGCATTCATATTGCATGTGTGAGTATAAGTGCAGGAGGACTACATAGGCAGGCATATCTGCAATGCTTTGCATCTTACCTCTGCTTGGACTTCTGCTTAGTAGCTTGCCTCTCTCATAAATGTCCTTAGCACATGTGAGCAGGGAACAGGTTTTTTTCCCCTATTCAGATTTCAAAAACATCCTGATTTTACTTACGGACAAAAATAAAACCACTTCAAAATTTCAGCAAGATCATGCAGTAACAAGCATATATATACGTTCATAATATACATAGCATAATTTAAACAATGATTAAGTAAAAAGCACTGGCAGTTTTACTGAAAACTCTTGAGTGTGGAGTCTTCAAGCTTTTCAGCATCTCCTCCTTTCCTCCCATCTCCAGCAGCTCCCTGTTCCTCAGGGCTCTTTTCTAGTTCCACTTTGCCACAGACTGGGAAGCCTGAACAAACACTTGCTGAGTAAGTGCAGGGATAG